ATTTATTTTTTTTTTTTTTACTAATTTGTTGCGCTTTCTCTTAATTTTTCTATAACTGCTGAGAACGCCACATGCCATTCATTAATACTCTTACTTATCAAAACTCGTTTATCTATTCGCATTTCCTACCACACTCACATATTGCTCGCGACTGTTGAAATTGTATTCAATGCCAAGGTTAAATGATATGAAAATTATTTTTTGTTTTTGGTTTTTAATTTTACTTTGCCATTACTTTTTGGCAGCCGCTTTTTCGCTTGGCATGTTTTTTGTTTTGTCGTTTTCGCTTTGTTTATTTTGCCCGCTTTCGTTCTCACCATGAGCTGATAACTAAATTTGCTTGGACTTGCTTACTCAACACCTCAGCGGGTAGCGGCGCGCTGCTCGCACATTTCGGGTGTCTTCGTTTCTTAATACTTTTAATTTAAAGTCACTTATAATTTGGGCTGTTTTTATTGTTTTTTTTTTATTTTAATTTTATTTTATTCTTTAATTGTTGTTCCTTTCTTTTCCGTTTCGCTTGTTGGTTTTGTTTTTATTATTTTTCTTTCATTTGTAGTTTTTATTTTTGACTTTTTTATTATTTGTTATGTGTTTTTGGTATTTTGGGTTTATTATTTTAATTTTTTTCTGTTTTTTTTATTTTCACCACTTTATCTCTTTTCGCTTACATTTACTTGACGCTTTGTTGTGTCACGCTCTTTTGCACATATTATTTATTTATTTAAGTTGTTTTCTCCAAAGTGTTGTTGTTATTTTCTTATTTAGCGAGTTGACTGCTTTAATTTCCTATGGTTTATTTTCTTGTTTACCGAAATGTTTGCACATTTATTTTTTACTGTTTACATTGGCCTACTCACCACTCGCTCGTGTACGAGGTTCGTTCAAAAGGTTTAACGAATTTTGTGTTTCTTAAGAAGTGCTTATTTATACATGGATATCTAGTTGGTCCACTTCGAAGCAAGCATCTCCAGATATATTGCATTTCTAAATTTTTTTCATTCTCGAAAGATCTCGAATGGTAGCTTTTGTGTTAAGCTCTTCCTTCGCTGCAGCTTTTATTTCTTATCATGGGAGTCTTCAGTTTTAAAAACAAAAAAATACCAAGCAGCCAGGTCTGTGAAATACATGTTGCTGCTGTCCAAATATTCGCGCACCAGCAACGACGCGAGAGCAGGGGCGTATCAATATGAATATATGATAACCAATACACATATAACCTTTTTGTAACCAAAACTCAAATTTGATTTCAATATGAAATATTTAGATATATTTGTTATAAAATTATATAGCAACATTTTATTTATTCTCCCATCATTGCAATGGTCACTTGAAATCGCCATTAAACAGGAAGTGTGATAAAATTTCTTTCTATCCCCTGCAAAGCCTCAAAAAATTGTGATTAAAGCGTAACTGTGGAATGTAAATAAACCAAAATTAAACAAAAATCAGCATGTGTCTAAATTATGAGCGTAAACCGCATATTAATATGTATATATATTTTTTTTTCTTTGTTCCGATCTCAATTAAGAACTGGTTGCCGTTAGCGCCTTCGCAATGCCTGCCTTCGGCGCGTTGACTGTTTATTTTAAGAAGCTGGCACTAATTTTAGAAAGTAAAAAAGTGCGAAGAATATAAAAAATATATTTCCGTTTTCTTGTGGCTTATTTCATTTGTTTTCATTCTCTTGATTGGTGTTGACATAACGAAATTGAGTCATATGAAAAGCTTGCTTTTTAATGACCTATAAGCTTTCAGCGTTAATCTTTTTATTATTGAAACAATTTTTTGAAGCCAACCATATTTAATAATTCTTTATTTTTCCTTGCAGTTTGACATCTGGCTGCAATGGCATCTTTTCACGACGCTTGGACTTTTCATCATTCAATTTGTTGCCGAAGACACGCTTGAACTCCTATCAAGTTAAGGTAAGTTTATGCGTAGAACTACGCGAATCTGCTTCCTCGTCATCAACAAAAATGTATTAGCAATAATAATTTTCTGCGTTCCGCCAAAGCTTTGAAATTTGAGAATCAAACAGGAAAGTGTACAAGTCGCATAAACTGGCATAATCACTTAAAGTTGAAATAGTAAGAGTTTTATACCACTTTCATAAGTTTTATAAATAATTTATTGTATATAATTCACCTGGAGAATCGAATGCGGTCACTAGTATATTATAATTATATACATACATATGTATGTGGTCTGAACAGCTTTCTGCTTCCTCTAAAGCCGTGATAGATCGTTAAAATATAATATATATATATATATATTTATAATATTTCCATATTTTTATTTTTAAATAAACAAATATTTTGAATTCGTTTCCCTACTTTTTCTTATTCGCTTGTGACCGCGTGGTATTTCCGGGTACTCAGCATTTACACCAACTTATTTACATTTACATAGGTGTATATATAATATGTAGATCCGCACGTATTCAGTTTGTTAGAATTCATAGTCAACTGTCAGCGAGAACTTCGTATGCAGCTTCTCTAGCTTTACTCAATTCCTAGAAAAATATCTAATTAAGATGCTTCTATTATTTAATATTAAATCACACATCCATATGCAATTGTGTACAGTTCTGATAAAAATTTGAAGTTGGAAATGTTTTAAGATGTTTCACATTCCTAATAGGTTAATAAGTTTTTTTTTTGGCTTGCTCTATAATACTAGAAAATATGCTTTTTAAAAACTATTTCCAAAATCCCTTCAATATCATATAAAAACCTCATTTTGTTTAGAATTTATGGACGACAATACTTTTTTCTAACTAAATATCACAGTATCAGAAGTTCTAGATCAAAGGAACATTTTCTGTAACTAGATATCACAGTACTGGAAGCTCTAGATCAAAATAGAACTATATGTTATTTAGGTAATAGAATCCTATTAGAAAATAATGACGTATTAACTTTGAACTTTTGAAACTGCACTTTTTCTCTTCGCGTCTGCACTCTATATGCTGTTTAATGCCACTTTTGTTTTTAACTCAAAACTAGAACACTCAGCAGCTTTCCATGACTCGAAGCGAATCTCGCAAAGCTCTTTCAGCTATTTCATTCATATTTTTTGCAGCTGCTAGAAATTCTGGGAATTGTTTTTCCTTATGAAATTATGACAATTTGAAGAATTTGTTTACTACAATTTTAGCAAGCTCAAGATAAAAGATCAGCTTCTGGAATTTTTGTTTATTTACTTTACTGGATATGTGTTTCTGATTTATTTTAAGACAGAATAACATAATATTTTCCGTCATTGAAAATAATTTATTATTCTGAATCACTTTCACTTATTCTACAATCAATTGGCAACTGTTTTTACTTTTGTTCAAGTCTCCTTGAATTTCATGTGTGCAACTTGAGGCTGCATTTCAAGTGTTGCCCTGAAGAGTGGGTGGGAAAAAATGGGAAAATTTATAATATAAGCATTGCACGAAAAGTTAGTTACCTTTAGCAGTTTCTTCCCCAGCTTTCATTGTCTGTCTCGTTAGTTATTGATGTTGAACAGACATTGGGCCACTCGCTTTGGGATAAAACAACAGTTTTGACTTACAGGATATTCCTTGAAATCATTGAGTATATGTGAATGACAATGCAGGCACAGCCAGTTTTGCTTGTTAACCAAGTCAGCAGTTTTACAGGCACTGGAAATATTTTTGGTGATTAAACAAAATAATTTGCAATTAAAATCATGTTTAACAGAATTAAAAAGAAATTATACAATAAATAACTTAAAAATTAAGACAAAAAATTGAAAAAAATAAAATAAAATAAAAGAAATAAAATTAAAAAACAAATAAATAAATAAAAATTAGAACTGAAGAACGAGAAAAATTATAATAAAAAATATTTATTTTTCACCGATTGTTTTGCTGATAGTAAAAATTAATATTTAAATAAATTAAAATCGAATTAAAAAAATTAAAAAATGTAAAAAATAAAAAATCGAAATTAAAACTAAAAAGAGAAAAATGTTATGATATAATGTCTTCAAGGCAAAATCAAATTCAAATAATAAAAAATCTTAAATAAATTAGTTACATAATATAAAATTAAACAATGAAATAAAATAAAATATAAAAAATGGAAAAACAATTAAAAATTAAAAAATCGAAATAAAAACTGAAGAAAGAGAAGAAATATACAGTGTGTGACAAAACTAAAGCACGAATTCTGCCATGTCGGTATTTCACTTAATAAAATCATAAAGTAGGCATTAAGCGATTATAAAATGCTGATTATAAAAACCGCATGAAAAATAAAAAAAATTTAAAAAATATTTTTCAGTGAAATAAACTAAAGAATGTTAAACTATATACTCCTCACTACTATAAAAATTTATTTTCCAATAGTTCAACCAGTTTGGCTTACTGGGTTACTCGATTCCCTACGCAACCAACCATAGCACCTGACATAAAACAATTCAATTTAGCAAAATTTGCAAAAAACATACTTTACATGTACATATACGTTTATGCACCAAAAGGTATGCTTTCAAATCATACACAACCGTCCCCTCTTTCATTCTTTTCTAGTCAATACACGTACACAATCAAATTTGCGCGCCAATACTTTTTTGTTGTTGTTTTATATTTTTATTATTTTTGCTTAGACGTAAGCCACCAGCGGCATGGCATCACTGTTGCAACATGAAAATAGTTGCAAATAGTTTTGTTGGCAACAGCTTGTCCTGCCACCACTCTCTTACTCGCCCGACAACCTTTGCAAATTGTATTGAATTTATACATATTTAATTCGTTTCGAAATGCATACAATTTCCATTCGCAGTCAAAATAATATAAAATATGCGCAATAGAATAGAATGTGCTGCGGCTGCTGCTGCTGCAACAAAAGAGCGAAGTAATTCGAAAGTGCTGAGCTGCTGCTGCTGCAGCTGCACGGCGTACCATCGAGTGATTTCTGGCAGAGCAGTGCATAAGTAGGTGTGTGTGTGTGTGTGTGTGTCAGTAAGTAAGTGAGTAGTTACTTTTGGGAATGAGTCGCAGCCCTAGCTCTAGTTGCTGCTAACCTGGCTTGTGCCTTTCGTTCCATCACAGCAATCTCGACTGTCTGGCGGATTGCCTTTGATGCGGCATTGATATTGCCTTTCTTCCGCACATCTTTTCTACATTCTAAAAAATAGTTCGTAGTTTTTCTGCCTTTCACTTCGCTCGCTTTCGGCGCTCAACTCTTCCGCTTCACATCGCCAAAAGTGCGCTGTGTCGGCATTATCCTCCAGTAGGGAGAATATATTTCGTGCTTATTAAACTTTTTCTTCGCTTGCATATTTGCTTGTTCGATTATGCAGTAGTTCAGCAGAATGCTTCGTTTTTTGTTTTTATTTTATTTTATTTTTAGCATTGCTTCCCTTCCCGTTGCCGTTTGCAGCGCATTAAGTTATTACAGTATTATTTTGAATCGTCGTTATTTCGCTCACCTCCGAATGCCTTTGTCCGGCAAACTTTGTGAATTCAAAATCCGCTACAATTGCGGAAAAAATATGCGAAAAAGTTATTTGCTTATTGAAATTCCTCGGAGAGCAGAACTTTGATTAGTTTTATGCGTTAGGGTATTAAATATTCTATTTTTTTTTTTTTTTTTTTGTTTTGTTGAAATAGCAGACACATTTAGTATTCTTTTCGCTTTACTCTCGTATTTAACTCTTATGTATATATTTATTTTCCATTTAAATATTGAATTGGCAACCAAATAGGCGCCATATGTCCGGTATGTCGTGCCGCGGGCGTTGTCTCCCTTTGTATCTCTTTCCCCTTGCACTTTCGTCTCTGCTTGCCCTCCTTGTTTACCTAATTAGCATTTTCGTAAACACCTTCTGCTTAGCATGTTGAAACTCAATTAGTAGCGGTAAGTCAACTTCATGTGTTCCTCATTATTAATCCCTTTTAAATTCGCTATCCGTGCGCATTTTTCTGCCTCTTAATTTTCACTAATCAAATTTGGAAACTCCGCCTGCAACCCTTTTGACAACTAAGCTGCTGATTTTTCTCTTTTGTTTTTTTTTTTATGCACACACTTTTTATTGCGCATATCCTTTGGCAACATCATCTGTCAACATTTTGCCTATTTTTCTTCGTTAATGTTTTTTTTCTACAGAAGTTAATCATCACTAAGTGTTAAGGGTGGTGTAAATCATTGGCAATAATTAGTACAGCAGTAAAGCATCTTATCTGTTATATTATATTTCAGTTTTTGAGTTGGAAAAGCCATCACATGTTTGCTGAGATGATTAATTGTTATTTTTTCTTCTTTTTTTTTTAGTTTTTAACCCTTTTGTGATACTTGCTTATGTTACGATGAATACTTTTTATGTTTTTTTGATTATTTCTATCTCTTTTCTTTGGTTGAGTCACAATTCAACAACAAGTCTCACCCTTTCTCACTTGTTGCTCGTGTGTTGGCTGATTGTCTAATTACTTCCTGCCCGAAATTTTTTAATTTTAGTTTTTCAAAGCGTTGTGGTGAAAAGCTAGGTTATTTAGAATACTATTCCAGATATTTACAAATGTATTAGGAATGCCGACAAGATTTTAATCTCAGAAGTGAGATTTAAAGATTTATCGTTTAATTTCATCGATTTTTATGCCCTAAAATTGAAGTAGAAATTTTTCCACCTTTGACAAGCATAAGCGACTTCACATCTGTCTCGAATTTTTTTAAAGCTTCAAAATAATTTGTTTTAAATTTCTCTCTGGTTACATTGGACCCGGAAATTTATTACGAATATTGTGACGAACTATCTCTAATCCGACCAAATTTGCTTGACGCATTTTCGTTTAATACTGTCACCGAAGCCTTGAAACTCCTGTCCAATAGTAAAGGCGAAGATCTAATCCGTCCAAATTTGCTCGACACATTTCGTTCATAAATGTCACTTAAGCCTTCAAGCTCCTGCCGACTTC